CACTGGAATAAATCATTGAATTTAAGGATAATGATAAGGAAGACGAGGATGTGATAAATGAACGTGAGCGCATGAACATATATAACAGCGGCCGAGTGCTTGCTGTCCGTGAGTTAAACAAATTCCATGGAAAAGTACATGCCGTACGAAATCTCACATTTGGCATCAAACCCAATGAATGTTTTGGCTTATTAGGTTGCTGCTTGTACTTTCTTCAAGCTTTTCTCATTTTTAAGCGTTTTTTTGGGACGCAAAAAAAAAGTCTTTCTGGCCTGAACAGGTCTGTCATGGTGACTCAGCTTTAGAAACACGTAAAGATTTAAGCAGTGATGACTTATCTGCACAAAATGAACAGATGACTCAGTCACCTTATGACTCAACATTTACCATAACTTAACCACCTTTTGCTTCAGAAGAATGGCTGTAAATGATTTGCTAGGGAAACAGAAAAAGAAGGCGATTGGTCCTATGAAAAAGATGTTTAAGAATTGAGTCATCCCCTGAAACACGAAAGTTTAAAATAACTCATTTCACAATTTACGAAAACCAGGCGCAACTAAAGATTGGATGTTTGTGGCAGTGCTGTATACCCTAGTGTTTCAAAAATTTTAAAGATACAAACAATGGATATCCCTGAAAAGGAGATTGAAAGGGAACGGGGGCGTGAAGTCTTCTGTGTATTAGCATATGCAGTTTGTTTGGCTTTTTTGTCCCACCGTGGAGAGGAACACAATCGAATTTTGACAATTAACGAAAAATTGAAAGTGCCATTTAGATCTCCCAAATAAGCAAGCCTGTACATACAGTGAGCTGGTATCCTGTCTCTCTCTCATCTCTGAGTTTAAACACGCTGCAGAACCTTAATTACTCTTTCAGCAATTCACCGTAGAATGAACTTCTGTTCTTTTCGGGAACAATACATTTTTCGAGGATGAAATACTTGGGAGCGATTGAGTGGTAGCAGATTTTTAGACGGCAGCAGTCACGGGCTAGTTAAATTGTTATTGTTTTGTATTTTCGAAGATTGCTTTGTGAGTTGCAGGAAACCGGCTCAAAAAGAGGGTGGAACTCGCTGAGGATTTAGATTTTTCAGATGTCCAATGAACTAAATATACTAATTTTAGGTGTAAATGGTGCAGGCAAAACCACCACATTTGAGATATTGTCTGGTCTCGCTCTACCGAGCACAGGCCAAGCCTTTATAAATGGCAAATCGGTGCTGAAGAAACAAGTGAGTTCGATTTTTTGTTAAACGACACAACCGCATATCGCGCATTTGTTTATCACGTGCTTCATCTTAGTAAAATCGAGCATTCTATACCGCTGGTCCCCGAAAAAAAAAAAACGCATCTTCGCACGGGCTGCCCGTGCGAAGATGCGTTTTTTGCAGAGTTCCCCGCAGTTT